GCGTATTGAGTTAGCTCAAACAGTGCGGTACCTGGGTGTCTACCTAGATAGAAGACTAACTTTTGAAAGTCATATTAACATGCTATGCAGGGCGATTTTTCTGGAGCTGCGCAGGATTAGTCAAATCAGGCCCTTCCTAACAATTGATACAACAAAGAGGCTGATGTCTGCATTTGTGCTATCACGCATGGACTATTGCAATGCTCTCATGGTGGGTCTTCCAGCTACGCTCCTGGATAAAATTCAAATAGCACAGAATAATGCGGCTCGCATAGTTCTCCGCAAACGCAAATTCGACCATGCAAAAACACTTCTGAGAGAGTTGCATTGGCTGCCGGTGCGTGCTCGCATAGAGTACAAAATCGCAACTTTGTGCTACCGCTGCTTACATGACCTGGCGCCGTCCTACCTGAAAGAGCTGCTGACGCCTTATGTACCCAGTAGAGAGCTCCGCTCATCCGATAGTGGCAAACTCTCGACACCACGTGTTTGCCTTGAGACTTATGGAAAGCGCACTTTCGCATTTGCTGGTCCAACAATTTGGAACGCCCTTCCTGTCGATCTTAGAAACAACCAGACACTGGAGTCCTTTAAAACAGATCTAAAGACACATCTATTTCGCAAATACCTTCTGGGATGATTGTCTACCTTATTTTCCATGTGTTGCTGTGTTGCTTAGTGTTGAAATGGCCAGAAAGACTTTGATATTGTATGCTTGTAATTAGTTTTTGTAGTGTTGTGTTTGTTTTAAATGTGGTGAATTATAGATTGTTTTTTGTTGACTTTGTACCGCGCTTCGAGCCTTTGGGGATGAAGCGTGTTTTTTTTTTTAAATGAACTTTATTATTATTATTATTATTAAACGTTCTTTAAAATATTAAATAAACAACGACTAATTAGTTATGGAAATGTTGATCTTATCTTAATGAAAACAATCATAGAATGATATGCCGAACAAAATAATGGAATAAAAGTAAACTTGTTTATTTATTTTCGAATACTTCCATTTTTTAAAATCGATTTCTTTTTAAATTAAACCAAGAATGAATGCGTGTTTTTGTGATTGATAAATCAGGCTCCCACGCTTCACAATGTTTGAACTGGCGGGCCTCGGGTTGCGCCCCCCTGGTTGACCCCCTCTCCCCCCACCCTAACCCTGTTTTATAAGATACTTGGCAAGTACAATTACTTTTTAACTCTGGTGACGTCATAAACAGAGAGCGTCACATTGGATGACTAAAAAGTAAATGTTCTTTTGTCCTATGTAAAACACATCTTATTTGGCTATGTAAAACACATCTTATTTGGCTATGTAAAACACATCTTATTTGGCTATGTAAAACACATCTTATTTGGCTATGTAAAACACATCTTATTTGGCTATGTAAAACACATCTTATTTGGCTATGTAAAACACATCTTATTTGGCTATGTAAAACACATCTTATTTGGCTATGTAAAACACATCTTATTTGGCTATGTAAAACACATCTTATTTGGCTATGTAAAACACATCTTATTTGATAAGTATGTGAATAATGTGTCCTATTTCATCATCTTGTGTAAAACATACTTATTTGATCAAAATGCGAAGAGCATACGCTATTTAATTAGTATGTGAATGAGGTAGCCAATATATGTGTTACGTACCCTAGTTGATAACTATGTGGATGGCATACCTAATTTGATAGATATGTTGGAGAAATCTGTCCTTGTCTAAGTATTCTGATTGGAAATTGCCTGTGGCATAATTATGAAACTGTCTCTGGTGTCGTCGTTATCGGTAGTGAAGATTTGTTTCTGATAGCACCAGATGGAGAAATCACTGCATTTCATTTGTATAGTATGTTGATCATGCATAATTGTATGTTATATTAATTATATAACAGTTATTTGTTCTATTTGTAACGTTTTTACACAAAGCTCTGCGTCTCTTGTGTACGGGAATTAGTTTCTATATCTACGTTGCGTATCGTTATGAATGAAACGCAACTGTGTACATTTAATAAATTGCATTAGCTGTGTACATGGATAATGAGGTCGGGCTATCAACAGATCAGATGGTCAAAAATTATATTAAATTCTGGATGAAGTAACGGGTACATAAATAGTTTATTAATAGATGGCTTAATTAAAAGGTGTGATCAGTATCACAGATAATTGGAACAGAGAGCTCACCGCTAAAAGTGTTATCGGTTTCAAAGATGATTGGCAACGAGAACTCATCGCCAAAGGTGTTGTTCTTCTCTTGGCCACTGCTAAGAAAATATTTTAATTTTTGGCGTTAATCTTTTTGTTCACGAGTCACAGGATGTCACACGATGTCACACGATGTCACACGATGTCACACGATGTCACACGATGTCACACGATGTCACACGATGTCACACGTTCCTTGTTGATTGTTATAGTACTTGCTAGGATCTCATTTTTTACAAAGGTTTGTCATCAACATCGGCTTATAATAAATCATCGGTTGAAAACACTATTTCTTCTTGTTTTATAATTGATTTATAAATATATGATACATTAATGCATGAAGATTGTGGTCGGTGAATGTAACACGTTATTTAATGCTTTAAAGCTCAGTTTAAGTTTTTTTCGATGCTTTGCAAAAAAAGAAAAAAAACACAACTACAAACAAACAAACAAACTGTTTTACTTTCTTTCATTTAATATGAGTCTATTTTGTTGTTCTTTTCTTTCTTTCTTGTTTCTATTATTTTTCTTACTTTTTTACCCTGCTGTCCCTCTTCTGTATCTCTCTAACTCTGTATGTATGTCCAACATACATACTTGAACACTCACGTGATGTATTTGTGGTTGTTGTTGTTATTTTGTTGTTCCTGACTGTTGGAGAACAAGATCGCATTTCATATTTTATACTGAACACTCCCGAGCAAGGTCTATAAATAAAACGACAATGACGTAGATAGTTGATTAAAAGCAACTTGAGTGTAGACCAGGATTTATGGCGGGGCATTGAGAGGTCACGGCCGAGACTCCCTGGTGTTTTTGTTTGGGTTGAGAAACCAAGTTTTCTTGACGCCCAGAGTGTCAATCGTGAAGGGGCGCGAGGCAACTCCAGAACAGGGGGGCACAATAGGGAGGAGCATTGATGTACGAGTCATTTAAAGAGTAAATATTGGTTTAAATCATCCATGTAGAGATGAGTTGGGGCATGGCGTCATCAATCTTTCTATGAATTCCACAAGTCTTCCGTTGTGTTTAAACAATAAAAAAAATGTTATCAGAAGACAAATACAAATTTAGTTTTAAAACGAAAACTTTAAGACTTCAATCAAGTAATTTTTATATATATATATATACAAGGCTCCCCATTATATTAGGCAAGAAATACCATTAGACTTATTTTTTCTTAGTTTGCAAAATCCAGTCTTTTGCAGAAAAAAACTTGAAGCAGAGATGAAACTATAATTTTTTTTTTTTTTTTTTTTTTTTCAAGGAATATTAGAAAAACCGTTATTTTTTATATTTTTATATTTTAGACCAAAAAATGTGTACACATCAAAAAAAAAAAAAAATATTTTTACTATAATTTTTTTTTTTTTTTTTTTATTTCAAGGAATATTAGAAAAACCGTTATCTTTTATCGTTTTATAGTTTAGACCAAAAAATGTGTACACATCAAAAGAAACAAATAATATTTTGTCAACGTGAGACCACTGCGGTCTAACGACAGTAGCAAAAAATTAATAAAATAATAATAATAATAAAAAGAACAAAACTCACACATTTCCACACACACACATATTTTAAGAAGAAAATGACATAAAATAAAAAAAGAATCATGATATTCGGCTTCTTTATGGGCCACCCATGAGTCAGATGATTTACTTTAATTTCCAGTGGCGCTGCCGTTTGAATGGGCGCTGGGCATGATGAACGCTGTGAGGTCAACAGGGGAATTAATATTTCTCGCGGCTATGACATAAGTCACAATCCAAAAGGACGGAGTTCTCTCCCTTCCGGGTAGCTCCCCACGACAACAAAAGAATTGGAGGTCAGCGGTGGCGGTGATGGGGCTCAGGGCAAACGTGGTCCAGATGAGCAGACAACATACCAGTGATCGATAGGGGTCGAATGTCAACTTTAATGTGTTAACAAGTACCAACTCTTTAAGTAAATGTTGTAGTCTATGTGTTAACATGTCCTTACTCTCTAGGTAAATGTAATAACTCTATGTGTTAACATATACACAGCTCATAGGAAATGTTTGATCATATTTAAACATATTAAACTGTTTAAAGTGTAATCGAATAGAATAAAATCGTTGTTTAAAATCTAGAACGTGGATTTAGAAGTTAAGGAAAAAAAAAAGATTGATGTGCTCAAACTCTCACTATATTATTTAGTAAATTTATTTATCCAGCCTAGTTAACCTAGTATTTCAAACAACATTAAAAAAAATCATTATTAAAACAACTCAATAAACTGTGACATACGATAAATGTAATATTAAACTATTTATGGAAATATAAAGTTGCGTTAATCAAAATTATTTCATTAATTCTTTAATATTTTTTTTATATAAAAAAAGAAAAATGATACACAAGTGATCAAAATACAAGGTATAAAAAAAATGATCTAGATACAGGTGACCTTAAGTATATCTCAAACTAGAGACTGACCAAAAGTGATATTCTGAATTCGGCCGAAAGTGAAACTGGGCCGAAAGTTAAAAATAATTTTCGGCCGAAACCGAAAATAGGCCGAAAGTTATGTATAACGTGACTCTCCACGACGGTTTCAGTCGAATCTCAACGACTAGTCTAATTTTGATTTTTATTATGTTTCTATATATTTGTATGGTTATTAAAATGGTAAGAACCATTTTAAACGCGGACTAATAAATGTCAATACTCTGTTGGGCTGAGACTTAGTCTCTTAGAGCCCTGGCTACTAATTTGGCGGCGAGTCTCATCTGCTGGGCATCCCCGTAAATCATATCTTCAAGGCAGGCTTCCAGGTTCGCCCGTTTGCCCTCGTCCCCCAACTAGGACACGTGATGACCACATGAGCCACTGTTTCTTCTGCCTCGCCACAGAATCTGGAGTTTGGTTCCCTTCGATCATCTAGTCTGTGAAGATGCTGCGTGTCGCGCAGTATTCAGTCCTCATTTGGGTTATGAGGCTCTGTTCTCCTCTCTTGAGTCCTCACCATGGGTCGGTCTTGCTCGGTCGCGGTCTTTTCCGGTGCAGCTGTCGTCCGGTTTCTCCTGCGTCCCACCTGCCGAACCACTTGTCCCGAAAGTGGACTTTCAGCCATGTCGTGACCCCCAACTGGGTCATTGGTTTATTTGGCTGGGGTTGAGACGCGCCTTCTTTGGCTAGGAAGTCCGCCCTGTCTGGCTGCGCCACCTCAACGTGCGAAGTGATATACTGCAGAACTAATTTGCCGCCTTTTGCCTGGATGCTGCCTACTGTCTGCAGAATGGTACCTATCATTGTGGTTTCCTTCGAGCCCCTTCCCATGTGTTCGAGAGCTGATTGTAAGTCGGAGAAAACCACTACGTCTGGGAAGCGTTTTCGTTTTGCCAGGCGTTGGTGGACCCTTTTCAGAGCAACCAGTATTGCCTCGATCTCCGCATCCAGGCTTGTTCTGTTTCCTCCGCTTGGGCCGGATAGCTCCTCGGGTGGAGCTATCTCCGCGGGATACTGGATAAGGGTACCGTAGCCACTGTGACTTTCTCTCGCGAAGCATGAGCCGTCTGTAAAGACTTTCACCTGACTGTCCAGGTAAGCGTTAATCGTTCTAAGCACTGCCTCTGATAGTTCTGCGGGAGGGCTGGCTCTGTTGGCTTTGGTGTTGGTCAAGGTAAGGCGTATATCAGGCCGGGATAGGCTCTCGTGAGGTCCCCTTGCCAGGATGACCTTCACTTTCTCTCTGTTTCCGGGTAAGGCCACACCTTCCTCAAGGCGATGGACCGTGTCCATGAAGGACGGTCTCTTTAATCTGGTCTTCCTTACCCATTCATTCTGCAGTTTGAAACAGGGTTTGTTTCTGTCCATACGACGATACTGTTCCACTGTCGTTAGGAATGCCTTTTCTCGTCTGATTTCGAGTGGTTCGGCGTCTGCCAAGACTTCCACCGCGGCCGTCGGTGTTGTGCGTATCGCCCCGCAAACAAACCTGAGAGCTCGGTTTTGGATGCGGTCCAGTTCCTCTAGAGCCGTTCGGCTCGCGAAGGTTTGAACTGGGAGGCTGTAATCCATGGCTCCCCTCAGCATACTGAGATAGAGCGATCTCAGTAGTGTTGCGTCCGCGCCCCAGTCGGTGCATGCCAACTCCTTCACTAGGCCTAACTTCTGTGTGGTTTTAGCCCACAGTTCGTGTACGTGGTTATGAAGCTGGAGTTTTGGTCCAGCTTCACGCCCAAGTAAACTGGAGTCCGATCCCATTGCAACTCTTTCCCATTTATTGTCAATTTCGCTTCTACCTTCAGTGCGTTTCTTCCGTTGTTGAATTTGGAATCCACCGTCTTGTCCGTATTGACGACCATTTTCCACAGTCTCGTGTAGGCTTCTGTTCTGTCGAGGTCGCCTTGCAGCTGGTTCTGCAGATCTTTGACATTCCTCCCCGAGCTCCACATGGTTAAATCGTCTGCAAACATTGCTTTTTCGGATTCTTATTCCTCTTGCAAGTCATATACATAGGCTAGGAATAGGGTGCAACTGAGGGCAGACCCCTGTGGGAGTCCATCCTCAAGGACTAATTGGACTGATATACTATCGCCAACCCGTGGGGTGATAGTTCTGTCCTTTAAAAAGTTTTCCACCCATTCGGTCATGTTGCCTGTGATTCCCAGCTTTTGAAATTTGTACATGAGGCCTGTGTGCCATACTCGGTCATATGCTTGCTTACGGTCAAAGAAAACTGCTACCGAGTGATTCTTTTTCTGGAGCTCGTTTGTCATTGATTGGGCTAGACGGGTCACCTGATCCATGGGTTGTCGACCCTTTCGGAAGCCACCTTGCGTCGGTGGTAGGCACTTGTTTTTCTCAAGAAACCAGCATTATCGTCCATTTACCATTCGTTCTGCTACCTTCCCCACACAAGATGTTAGCGAGATTGGCCTATAGCTGCTTGGTAGATGGCCTGGTTTTCCTTCTTTGGGAATTGGGATGACTGTGGCTTTTTTCCACTTTTTGTCAGGGTGCCTGTGGCTCAGGTATTATTTATGAGAGCCAGCAAAATCTCTCTCCCCTGTTTCCCTAGGTGGGTCAACATCTCGTTATGTACCCTGTCAGGCCCTGGTGCTTTGGCTGGTCTACACTTGTCTAGTGGGGTTCGCAATTCTTCCATTGTGAGGGGAGTTGTGAAAAGCTCTGGTTGGGGCCCAATGCGTTGGGTTCGAGCTCCCCTTTTCCTTAGCCATTGGATGTTGCGGTGCTCTTCGGTCTCTCTGGTCTTTTTGATCACTGCGGCAAAGTGAACGTTTAGTGCCTTTGCCCTCTCTGCGTCGCTCGCCTCGACGCCATCCGCGGTTTTAATTGGATGTGGGTTTTTGGCCTTCCCCACACCAGAGAGATTTCCAAGCAGGCTCCACACTTTCCTACCGTCTTGGAGGTTGAGCTTTTCACACGCGCTTACCTATTTTGACTTTTTCGCCTTTTTGGACAGCCGCCCGAACCTCAGCCGTAAGTCAGTTGTAGTCTGCTTGAGCTGCAGGCGTCTTCTTTCTTGCGGCTTGTTTTCAGGCTTTTGCTCTTCGCTTCACGAGTTCTTTAAGTTCCCTGTTCCAGTAGGGAACACAATAAATACGTAATCACAATAATAAGCATAACTAGATAATACTTGTAATGATCTTAAAGAACACTTAGACTAAATCTTCTCCACTTGATAACGTCACAATCACAATCTATTCATGATCTTATCACATAGCATTAATAACATGGACTTAAAATAACCGCCATGTCGCCATTTTTTTCTTGTATCTCCTCTTCACTGATTGGTTCGTCTTACCAAGTTCCATACTTTATAAATTACAAGTCATAATTCTCACCTCACTTAACTCCCTTGTAAATCATTATTATCTGTGACAGCTCCAAATTTTATTTTTGAAACAAAAATTAAAACGAAAATAATGATATAAATATTACTATTTCCTTAAGTTTATCTTCCACAAAACTGCTGACATTAGTCTATGCCTAATTGAAATGTACTTTTTTTTGGAAATATAGGACCAGTAGGTCATCATGCAGCTGTGGGCAGCTTTCGCTGAGTATTAGTCATATAACATACTATGACGGCAATATGTCGAGTACTAATGAATATCAGATTGTCGGCCTAGAGACAGACTGTCTGACTTGGGATAGATGACCGAAAACCTCAGTCACTTTCGACCGAAACTGAAATTAAGCCGAAAGTTAACTTTTCAGTTTTGGCCTAAACCGAAACTAGGCCGAAAGTGATCAAATGGCCACTTTCGGCGCCGAAACCGAAGCCGAAATTTGGTCGGTCTCTATCTCAAACACAAGTTAAATAAACGCAAGTGGTCCAAACTCACGTTACCTAGACACAATTGATCTTAAGTATTTGTCAAACATAAGTGGTCTTTTTAAATTTCTCAATCACAACAATCAGCCTCCATATGTCAAAAGGCTTCACTCGGTAGGTGACATTAATGTTAAGAGTGATGCTCTAGATTTTGCAACAGCCGGGAGAGCATACTGTAAATTCTGAAGGTTTGGGGAAGAAATGAAATTGTATAGCTTTCGATCTTAACGTAGAGGGAGAGATTCGACATGATAGAGCTGATCGTAAATATCTGTTATGAAGTGGGTGGGATGTGATCTTAGACATCTGTGATGAAGAGATTTTGATGTGATCTTAGGCATCTTTTAAGAAGAGATTGGTATGTGATCTTAGGTATCTGTGAGGAAAAAACTGGGATGTACCCACCATTTTTATTGATTTCACCAACTGCAAATTGCTTTAAATAGTTCTGCAAGCGAAGGTAGTTTTTTTTTAGCGATATTACTTGAGTTATTGATGAGTCTATTAATACTAGTAGCTAAGTTCAGTATATGTTAATGCTCATGCATTTGAGTGACATAGAGCTGCCTTACAATCTGGTCGGGTCGTGGTTGCAAGGATGATATCTGACCCTTGTGGTATAATGAATCAAATGCCACCAAAAATACATTCAAGAGGTTCGAGTCAAAGGTTCAGCAGCCTAAAACTAATTTTTAAAGTAATCACAAAACCCACTATGAATATTTAAAGAATATTTTGTTGTATAGAAATGTTATTCATACGATAGAAAAAAATATTTAAGCATTGTGTTGCCCTTTGAAATTCAATTTGGGGAGCAGATTTGGTGGAACATCGTGGTATTTTGGAATACGTCTCAACGATTCCAAGATTTTTGACGGTTCAAAACTCGACACCTCAGCCTCGGAAATTTCCTCCCAAAGACTCACAGCTTTTATTAACAAAGTAAGGCATTTGTCACGGATTGTCTTTGTTTGAGTCTCATTTGTTTCCACCTCTGACTTAAGCAGCAAGCAAAGAGTGGACATTAGGTGACCGTAAGCAAGGACCATCTTATGTACCCAATCTGTGTCACATGCATTCAGACGATCATAGATCTCAAGTGCCCGATCGTATGCCCGACATCGAATATATGCATGCCCTAAACTAACAACGGCTGGTATTTTGGTGCGAATGGCTGAATACAAAAGATACTGGTGAAGATTTTCTGTTGCGTCCTGGATAAACGGATTATTAGAACTAAAGGGAGGAATTTCTTTTGCTTGTGAGAGTAGTCTCTGAAGAACCCGGTCCATATTGAGTTCTTGCTCGATGTTATCTCCTAAGGGTAAACTCAATGTCCGTATTGCTCTTGTGCCATGAATATGTTCAAACTCCTTAGCTTCTTTGAGAAGGATTAATCCTAGGTGGTGATAAGCGCGTCCAGTTGGCTTAATGTTCAGAGATGTCCCCAACAGCTGTTTCGCCGTTTCAGTTCGACCAGGGACATATCTCATCAGTTGACCTACTATGGCTGTAACGTTGGCTGAGGAAGGCGCTAGTGTCAAGGCTTCATCACACAGTGTTTCTACTGTGCCATTGAAAGCAATTGTCTGAGTGTAATCATTGTTAACATAAGTAACAGTATTCCGAAGCATTGCTAGCTCAACTAGAGCATGAGCTTTCACAATATCTTTTATGTTTATTTCGTACCGCAACGCTGACAAAATTTTGAATGCATCTTTAACATAAAAACCAAAGTCAATTTTTTCTTTGGCAAAATCATACGTGCTCCAATGAAGACATCGTCTGTGTAGAATTCCTAACATCAAATCAGCCTCATGTTTGTATCTAATAGGGAACTTCAAAGCAAAGTTTAGTAGCTCTATACCAGATATGTTTTTTTCGGCATTTGCAAATTCAAAATAGAAATAAGCCTGCTCACACAAGGCGTCTGCCTTCAAATATTTGAATGAGATGAGTGATGAAAGTTCATTGAGCTGTTTCACAACATCGTCAGCCTCTTCCACCTTGCCCTCCTCAAAATATAAAACAGCCAAATTAGCCATTGTCGTCATGTTTTGTTCCTCAGTCTTGTACAACACTTCATCTATCAGTTTTCTTGCCTCTTCAAACCTTCCCACTTCCACATAAGCTTTTATTCTGTAATTCTGCTCCCATTCAAGAGGTATCCATGTATCGTCACTGCTGTTAGGTATGTCGTAACTGACATATCTCTCCCAAGTGTTTTTAACACAGGGCACTTCACAAATTCGTGTACAATCCACGCCTCTGCCATCAATTTGATAGTTTGCTCGCCCAATGTTAAAAGAACAGGGAAATTCATTCAACTTCTGCTGTATAAAAGCCCTGCTGTCTGCACCAAGTGACGTCATCTCCAGGCAATGAATAATTTGTGATAAGCTGAAAAGCTTAGGCCTTCACAAAATGTGTAATATCACCAATCTCGTACTGTTGGTTTACAAAATATATAATTCAATTTTATATTATGAAAATTGACATAAAAAGATAATATATTATTTTTATGTTTTTTAACTATCAATTATCAAGATCTATATTTTATTCTAGAAATATTTTTTTATCACCAATAATTGTAACACATTTCATATATAATTTTTGCCTAAGCATAAAGTAATGCAACACAATGAATATATTATTTAGGTTTAAGCACAAAGTGATGTTACACATGCATATATCATTTTTGTATAAATAGAAAAAATTGTAACTCCTTTGATATATATTTTTGAACGATCTTTAGCTTCAGATCACACGATGAAATTAGCTTCAAATTTCGCGTCAAATTTATGTATGAACGTACTATTTTGTGTGTAGTTTCTTTTTTTTTTGTTGAAAAAAGAAATGGCAATTTGATCATATAGTAAATTTGAAAGTTGTGACAAGACTTCCTACAAAAATTGCATCAAATTTATACTTGAAAATTTTATCGTGTGAACTGACCCTTAAGCTCTCTGTACATTAAGTGTTGATGACGCTACAATCTAACGTTGGAAAAAATAAATTTGCTAATTTAAAATCCTTTGAACCTTGTTTAATAATTTCAAAATCTTTTGTTTTAATTTCAACTACCTTCAAACGTTGAAGGGCAAATTTAAAGATTTGTACTTACAGTTGCTTAAGGCTCTGTGACACATTTGTCCTTCTTGTTCACCTGACATTCTACTGTTTGCCTAACAAAAGATCCTACAGTCTTAGATAAACATTTACTTACGTAAGCATTATATAAATCTTTCCTGAAATAATTCCAGGGTACATAAAATTCCTACGACCGAAACATTTGTTGTTAAGGCGGAGCTATTTTCTTTTTAAAAAAAAGAAAATTATTCCTGGTGCAACTTTTGCATGTAAGCCTACACACAGTGGCGTAGCTAAGGTTGGTGTCACCCGGTGCGGTCCGCACCCCCCGCATCCCCCTAGCTACGCCACTGCTCAAACATATCTGAATTTAAAAGAAAACCGTTAATAAGACAAATAATGAACTTTAGGTTCAATCATAGAATCCTTTTTCATCATGTGTCCTACTTTCAAATTAAACTATTTAGATGCCATAAAAAGTTAGATGCATGTTAGTATGTTAAAGTTAATATTTTTTGAATGTATAGAAATTCCATTACACCTGTTGGAGTAAGACTAGTAAACATAGCAGAACTATTGGGATACAGTGGCGTAGGAAGGAGGTGGGGAGGTCCGCTACGGGCCGATATGTTTTATTTCTAAAATGCGGCGTATTCGGCCAACTGCAAGGACTTTCTTCGTGAAAGAGGGGTGTGGGGGGGGGGGCGAAAAAATCTTAGCCTGCCGCAGTCGACACTGACCCTAGCTACGTTACTATAATGGGATAGGCTTTTAAATATATAGGTAAAGCAAATGGTATATTCACTGTTTATATCTCTAACTATATATATAAATGAACATTTGTTGGTTGGTTTGTTTGGAGATTTGTGGGTTTCTCGTTCCGCAAACTTTTCTACAAGGATTTATTGAATTATCTCAAAAACATGTTTGTAACAAAAATTTTGAAAAGTTTCATTGGCTCAAAAAATGCGAAGTGACTGATACCTCAATACGTGTTATTGTCGATCATCTAAAAATTCTTTCGGCTAATTTTAAAGAATGATTTTCTGATTTGAAAAAAAAAAAAAATGATTTTCCAACTTGGATGATGCAGCCAATGTTTGTGGATCTGTCTGATATTTCAAATATGCAATGTCAAGAAAAACTCTCAGAAATGCAAAAAGAAGAGTCTGATAAAACTTTATGTAATATTAAATGAGGGATGGCATGGCTTTGTGAGTGTAAACAGAAGTGAAATAGCGAAAGTCTAACGAATGTACAAGACGTCTATTGTTACCGTTTCTCTGTTCAGCAGGCATCAAGCGCAAGTTTCTCATTGAATTTGTCATCTCACACTGTATTTGTAATCTCTACTTGTATCTTTAAATGATAAAATCATGACTAATAAATGGAATGATAAATAGTTAAACTATTTGAGAAAAGCTTTCATTTTCTAATTGAATTACAGTTCTCCAGTATATGTTTTAAAATTTACTTACTGTGTTTCCTTAAAATTTTTTTTCGTAAATCTTAATCATATCTAAAGCCTTTTTCCTTCTTCCTAAGAAACTGTAATTTAGTTTTCATTTAGTGAACAATTCAGTTTTTTAATATTAAAAATTATAAGTAGGTATATATAGAGAGAGATAACATAAGGGGGCATATGAATTTTGGATAGACTTATGTGGGGCATGGCACAAAAAAGGTTGGGAAACACTGGACGAGAGAGAATTGTTAGATGTTCTAGTATGAGCTATTTGATAGTCTAGCGAACTTTTAATATTAGAACTTGGTTTGTATCAAATACCTTATTTGATGTAACTAAGCTTGAATTCTATGCAAATACTTTATATGTAAAAAAATCCTCGTATTCATGATCCTGTCAACGTGTATTTAACTCCTCTTTAAATTTGAGTCTCGTGTCTTGTGCTAAAGGCGCTCCCGCAAGCTACGACCTCTGTCCCAGTTTATGAGGAGAGGGAAGTAATATGCTAAAATTTATAGTCAGTAATACTCTTAAGATTCTTAAAAATTCCCCATTACTGAGCGCTTCAGAGGTTTTGGGTAAAAAGAATAAAGTCATTTGTAGGAAGTTAAATTCAATTGACACATAGTGAATGGAAGGCTGTCTCTGTCCAAAAATTTTAATAAAATATTCATGTCGTGACTGGCCAGACCTTGAGGAAAACCCAGTGGTGTACTAAAGCCCCCCCCCCCCACACACACACAAATAATGTAAGTAATAAACATTACTTTATTAAGTGTCGATCCCATTCCTTCCCATTCAGCTCCTGGTAACGCCTCTGGTGATACCTAATCTCATTGGTTTCAGTTTCAATCCGAAACATTGTGCTAAGCCTAGGTAATCCTAAATGTGATTGGACACACTAACTGTGATTGGTGATCCTAAATGTGATAGGTAAAACTAAATGTGATAGGTAATACTAATATTTTCTATGTTCAAATAAACAAACTTTTAAATTATATACAATTTATTTATTTTAAATGAATTTATTTGAATAGAATAAAGAAATAGTTGTTTTTTTTAAGAATTAAAACACGACCCTTTCGATGGTCACAAATTGAGAATCCCTGTCTTAGTGTCCAGATTATGTAACTTAAGCTCCTGATAAAGGTTAACTAAATAATAACGATAAGGAAGTGATTTAACCAGCATTTTTGTAGCGTAAAGTAAAATAACCCCCTCTGTCGTACTCAGAATTTAGATAAGGCAGCAAAAACCACGGCTAGAATTTTTACGGCAACAGATAAGATTGTTGTTTCTCGTTGGTGATATTGTCACTGCAGGTTGGCACATGCATCGCGTTATCACTGCAGGATGGCATATGCAACGTCTTGTCACTTCAGGTTGGCACATGCATTGTCTGGCACATCTTGTCATGGCAAGTTGGTACATGGATTGCCTTGCCAGTCTTGTTACTGCATTTGGGCCCATGCGCCGTCTTGCACGTCTTGTCAAGGCAGTATGACACTTTCATCGTATTGCAGGTCGTGTAACTGTAGTTTGACACATGCAGTGCCTCAAACACCGTGTCACTGTTAGTTGGCACATCCATTGTTTTGCACGTCTTGTCACTTCAGGTTGGCACATGCATCGCCTCACACGCCTTGACACTGCAGGTTGGCTCATGTATCGCTTCGCACATCTTGACATTGCAGGTTGGAACATGAATCACTTGGCACGTTTTGTAACTGCAGGTTTTCTCAAGCATCGCTTCGCACGTCTCATCACTGCATCACAATTCAGCGTTCGAATGCTTCTTAGTGCTACAATTTTGCTGGGGAATTGTGCACTAATGTTGTAAGATGTCTTGATACACAAATCACACTTCATAACACCTCTTTATATGCACCTTGATCAATGGAATTTCTTCTGTAGCACCCGTAGTGGATTTTCAGTAAATGGAATCTCTGGTTCAGCTTTCTTCAGTATTCAGTACCGCTAGTTTTCTCGTAATTGTAAATCACTGTAGGCTTATTAGAATAAAAATTCTCGGCTACACTCATAGAAAGCTTGAAGACTATCCAGCAATACCAACTGGTGACGAGAGTTCTACACTAGCTGTGTTGCTAATGCTCTGTGTGGAAACTGCATAACTCTGTGTGTGTAGTTCCGATGACGTTTCAGTCGTAGTCAATTTAACATTACCTCTAAAAATAGCCTTTTTATAAGTGTAGGCTTAAGTGGACTTAGTTTCGTAACTCAACCATCTCTGGCGTAGATATTACTGATCAGTGATTATTTCAGAAAATTACCCCCCCCCCCTGGAGGGGTTACTTCAGATTTTTCGGGGGGGGGGGGGGTGGGGGAGGGCAGTGCCAGCAGTGCCAGTTGATTTATTGTTGGACATATTTTTGCTGGGGGGAGGGGCACTTGTCTTTCCCCGGGGGGGGGGGTTGTGCCCCCCCCCACGGAGCTATGACTGAAAGGAACTCTGTTACTGATACCGTAGGTTTGGGTTGCTTTCTTTATCTGGCCCCATAATCACAATGCTTGGTGGTAACATTGTTAATTAATATTTTGATTTCAATGTAGGCTATGACCTGCAGCTACTGATTGAATAACTAATTCATTCCACTGTCCACTCCTCATACTTATTACTTATCTCTTCCTCTCTCTCAAGAATTGACAATATCCAATTGTACAATTCACACAGTGCTTTATTACGTTTAATAGATAAGTCAAATAATAAATCCTTGCTAAGAGAATATCCTTGCAACAATCATAGAATGCAAAATATTTATATATATATATACTGTCAATAATATTTTATCTGATAATAATCCTATAATCCATTCCAGAAAAAAAAAACACTATGTCTGTCACCTCTTCAATTGATAAAACAGTACACTCTGTTGCTTTACTTAAAACATGAATGCTTCTTCCGCTATAAAAACTAGTTCCCGCTTTTCTCGTGTTTTTTTTTTATATCGTTACCATAAATCACTACGCCATTGTGTCGTGAGAATAAATATTAGGGTGGTGTGAAAAATCAAAGTTAACATGGTCTGCTACAGGCACAAGTATCGCTTTGCACATCTTGACACTGCAGGTTGGCCCATGCATCGCCTTGTCGTCATGGTAGGGTGGCAGCCTCACTGGTCTTGCCACTGCAGGTTGGCACTTGCATCACCTCGCACGTCAGGACTGCAGCACAAAATGCATAGTGAATACTTATGATATATATTTAGTTCCAAACATTGAACACAACTGAAGTAGGGGTTATGTTGGTTGCTGTTAGTATCTTCGTGACTTCTTTCATTATTACATTTTAAAAAAAATGAACATAAATATAAAACTAACATCCAAAGGAAACCAAGGCAAATACGCATTTGTATGCATTTGGTTTGTTACTTAAATGAGGATTTAAAGAGTGCTCAATGTCGATTATCCAGGCTCTCCATGATGTAAACCAGGGGTCTCTAAACTTTTCAGCACGAGGGCCGCATTAACGATCAATCAGCAGTTTGGGGGCCGACTACACACTTGATGTCCAAAATAAATAAAAAAATAAAAACATGGATAGTGTTTTGAATTATTCATTTAATAATTAATTTATTCAGTTATTATTTAATAATACATTGATACATTACACATGAACACC